CATTTTTTAGACGGACAAATATGACTGCTGCACTCGCGTCTCAGAGAAGAGATGTATAGAAAGCCATGCAAAGTTAAAACAGTTTAAACTTTTATAAAACATGTTACAAATTTGTGAACGTTTATTCCTTTTCACTGCGTCTCATATGTTTTTAAATGCAGTCTGTGTGAATGGCGCATCGGCTCTTTGGATTAAGCAATGCATAAATACATGATGCTGTTTTGCTCATAATTGTTTATGCAATTTACGAAATTATATTTGATTTTTATGAGTTAATTTAGACGTAATGCACGTTTTAATAGAGTTACTTCCTTGCGTTGACAATTTACATGCGCTGCATTATTTTGCTCATTGCGCCCTCCTGTGGCCTTGGGAGACAATTAGACCTATACAATAAAGACCTATTTAATCTGCATATAAAACATTAGAAATGAGATATTTGTTAAATGTTTATTGTTTGATTGTTAAAACAAAATATATTTGTTGTTTGTCTCAATAAATTGTGTTAATTATAAATACAGTGGTTAAAAAAAAAAAAATTCTATTGCTTTTTGTTTTAAAAAGGTTATAAAAAATGTCAATAATTATCGATACCGAACGATATGAAACATTATATAGCTGATAAATATTTTAGCTATATCGCCCAGCCCTACATCATAGTATCATTTAATTCCAGAACACAATCATATTTTATATACTCAGACAAAGATATTATGGAAGCACCATAAACACTAACCGAATGGGTGCTGGCTGTGTCTGATGTGCATGATCTCTGAATCTCGAAGCAGTGTGTACATCAGTACATTGCTGTTGGGGGAGTCAGGGGCTCTCCAGCTCAACTCTATAGCCGTGGAGTTCAGAACCTGGCCGAGAGGAGGAGGCTGCTGTTGGGGATCTGAACAGGAGTGGGAGAGTGTAAGCCGAGACATATTGGTGATAAATCTGCATTGTGAAACAGAATTACACAAGGTTAAAGCACCAAAGCTGCTAGCTAACAGGGAAAATGGACTATGACTATACTAGAGCAACAATCATTTGTTACATGTAAAAAATGCTAACTTAATAAAAACACTGTACTGGAGGGGCACATTAGGGCTTTAAGGGTCTCCATGAAGTTATGTGCCACATGCTCTAAACACACACAGACCAATAAACAGGTCACCTTACAGTATACATGCTGAATGTTTATAATGTAGATATGCAACTGAACCCAGGAATGGCATAAGATCATGAGAGATATATACATCTATATTAAATTGAAATGTTCAGCTAAAACATAAGGATGCAACATGATTAAATTTGAGTGTCAGCTCCTGGGCAAGTATTTTGAATAAAGTATGTAATAAATTCCACAGTCCAGCATAAATACCACAGCAATTGAGTGACGGCAGTGAGTTCTGACCTTAGGTATGCCTCTCTTGCACTAAACTTACAAACCAATTTGACTATATTGGGGAAATCTGCATTTAAATTACAGTCACTACAATAAAGAAACTCTGTGATGTGATCTATAAGAGGCATTTTCCTGTTTTTGAGCCAAATAAAGCATTCAAATAAAGCTCCTCAAAATGATATGATTTGATTTTTCTCTTCTATGTTAAAATATTTCCTACTGAAACCGAAGGCTGGGATACATCAAAGGGCTTGTCCTTTTATTAGCTGATAGCCTTTCATTAATGCCAAATTTTGATATCATGGGATCAGGCTGATCATGATGAAATAAATACATTTACATTATACTTACATTTAGTCATTTAGCAGATGCGTTTATCCAAAGTGACTTACAAATGAGGACAATAGAAGCAATCAAAACCAACAAAAGGGCAATAATATGTAAATATATGTTATTTAATATTGAAAAGTATCAATAAAAATAGTTTAGTGTTATTTAAATGTATCATTATGCTTAGCGCAGTATTGTGCTGTTAGCTTTGCAACATGCTAAAGTAAAACAATTTAAATTAGTTGTGAATTATATATATGCATACATATATATATATATATATATATATATATACACACGCATACACATTTGATATAATTTTCACAAATTAACATATTTCAGACTCTTAATGAGCTGAAAATTTGTTCTGTCAACTAGAGGGGCGTTTTGGGCTAAGCCACCCGTTTCCCAATGTGGTTCGACCTTGACTCCTCGGAAGGAGACAGAGAACTTTTTTTTTCTCGTCATTCAAAAACGAAGCCAATTGTGGTATCAAACTCTGTGATCAGTACCAATATTGCTAAGTTCCACATGCTTACATTCTCCATATTTGAAATATTCCAATAGCTTGCAGCTATCAAAGGAAATGACTCCAGATTGTGCCTCGATATTTGTCTAGAACAAGTGTTGCAAATAGAGCTGGAAAGTTTGCAGACAAGGAATTAAGCAAGTTTGACTAGCAACAGGAAAAAAAAAACAGTGACCAGATATAAATATGACCTACACTTCTGTAAAATAAAACTTGCTTTCTTCCCCCAAGGTTAAATGATTAGCCAAGCACCACTTTCCATGTAGCCTATGCCTGTCATTTGCTGTGATGGCAAATCTTCCCTAACCATATTGTGGGTTTTTAACTACCTCTATTAGGTGGTCCGCAGCGAACGACCCAATGTAAGAAAACAAAATAAGATGCATCGTCTTATTGATTCCGGGGCAGACAAATGAGTTTATAATATTTAGATAAAGAAATCTTTATTGTGTAGGATCTCCTGATGCAGTTCAAGCTTCCCCTCTAATCAGTTTAAATAGTTCATTTTTCATCCTTACCGGGTGAACGAGTGCAGCTGGATGGATTGTGTATGCAGTGATCTGTCACGACTCATATGGATTAACAATTTGTGATGTCCGGTAGCACTGTTGTTGATGCATTGAAAACACACGCTCATGCTATTTGCATCTCACCAGCCAACAATTAATGTTCTCCCTGCCTACTGTGCATCTCAACATCATATTTTTTATTTTGAGGGGGGAAATGCTTAAAATGTAAACGATGGTTGATATGGGAAGCGTTGACGATGTCCCCCACTGTTCCTTTTATTCACCCAGCGTGGATGGAGTAGTTAAATATCTCCTGCAAGCCTTCAGGAAGGTCATTCAATGAGACTTCAACCAAACCAAGACTTAAATATAAAAATCATCAAAAGAAAATCTGCCGTGTGTAAGAAAGGGGAAAAAATAGAAAAGAAAAATAATTTTCCAATCCACTGACTCCTGAGAATGCCAAGTTTTCCATCCCCAACTTAGGCCATATGTTCAAGCTGGGGAGCTGCTTTGGAGTATATCATTAAGACAGCTAACATATGATGTATTTACAACCTAATTGATGTATCCAACAAATCAACTATGCAGAGAGTATTAAAATGCAGCCTCGTTTAGAGGCGGGACTTTAATGGCTAATTTGACCTTTGCTGGCTCTGTCTGAACCCGTGGGCCAGTAAGCAGCTAACTGGCTCAAATCGCTATGAAAAGTGATGTGCATGATTTTCTAAATGGCCTTTATTCACTACTAGTGTTCAGTCTCGGTGATGGGAGGGAGGTCAGGAGTAATTTTCGACTGTGATTTACACTGTTCTTTTTTACTTGATGATATATCTTGCTGCATGGTAATAAATGAAAACGTCTTTCTCGAACATGACCGAGATAAAGGTGTTGGACCATGGCACTGACCTGCCAACACTTGGATTAAAGCCAAAGAAGAGATCCTGGCACTGGTCGCATCTGCGACCGGTCAGTGATGGGTGAGCACACACACACACTGCCCTGAGTGGGCAGCACACACCTGCCCCACTGCTCCGACCGAGTGACATTCACACACTTCACACTCGCTGAGCCCCTCCTCAGACAGGAAGAAACCTGCATGATGCAAAAAAACACAAACAGACTCATTACGCATATTTTATTGTGAGCTCTCATTTACTTCCTCTTTTGCCATCATCATGAAAAAGTAAATAAATAAAAGTAAAATAAATCTTTAAAAAAAGAACTCCCTTTGCCCTAGTAGACCCAAATATAGAAAATAAATGTGAAAAAATTATTTAACCTTTTAAATGTTGTTGTAGGAGGCCTCTAATACAGAAATAAATGTGCTTTTACATTTTAGTCAGTTTTTAGGGAAATGTTGTAATATTATAGAATTTCAGTGATTTTACTCACTGTCTGAACAAATGCAGAGAACAGAGGTTCATTTGCAGGGTGAAATGCTTCTGTAACCCCATTACAATAGTCTATATATGTATACACACTAATAATCACACAATAATGATAAATTATGTCATATTTTTATGAAAAATAAACATTTATTATAAAAAATATATGTTTTGATTATATTTACAAAACCTGATGAACTGAATGAAAGCTTTCAAATATTCTTCATGACTTGACTTTAAAACTTTCTTCTCTTGTATCACAGTCCATCTCAAAGTCACTGTTTCCATTGTGGACAGCATCAGTGATATATCATACACATATGATGAGACGGTCTTTCTTGGCTGGTGACATTCTGAAATGGAAAAAAACAACGATTATTTTACAGGGTAAAAATTTCAGCGCAAATTGATCCCAAACATACTTACACATTTTAAGAAAATCTGCCGTGTGTAAGAAAGGGGAAAAAATAGAAAAGAAAAATAATTTTCCAATCCACTGACTCCTGAGAATGCCAAGTTTTCCATCCCCAACTTAGGCCATATGTTCAAGCTGGGGAGCTGCTTTGGAGTATATCATTAAGACAGCTAACATATGATGTATTTACAACCTAATTGATGTATCCAACAAATCAACTATGCAGAGAGTATTAAAATGCAGCCTCGTTTAGAGGCGGGAGACTTTAATGGCTAATTTGACCTTTGCTGGCTCTGTCTGAACCCGTGGGCCAGTAAGCAGCTAACTGGCTCAAATCGCTATGAAAAGTGATGTGCATGATTTTCTAAATGGCCTTTATTCACTACTAGTGTTCAGTCTCGGTGATGGGAGGGAGGTCAGGAGTAATTTTCGACTGTGATTTACACTGTTCTTTTTTACTTGATGATATATCTTGCTGCATGGTAATAAATGAAAACGTCTTTCTCGAACATGACCGAGATAAAGGTGTTGGACCATGGCACTGACCTGCCAACACTTGGATTAAAGCCAAAGAAGAGATCCTGGCACTGGTCGCATCTGCGACCGGTCAGTGATGGGTGAGCACACACACACTGCCCTGAGTGGGCAGCACACACCTGCCCCACCGCTCCAACCGAGTGACATTCACACACTTCACACTCGCTGAACCCCGCCTCAGACAGGAAGAAACCTGCAATGACATATGATGCAAAGAAACACAAACAGACTCATTATGCATTTTTTTGTGAGCTCTCTCATTTACTTCCTCTTTTGCTATCACCACAATAAATAAAGTAAAATAAAATAAAATAAATAAATCCCTTAAGAAAAATAAGTACTTTAGCATACCTTTAAAAAGTATTATTATGGAAATAACATACTTTAAAAGAATATACTTAAATGTGAACTGAATGCAATGTTTATGGACACTTAATTTAATATTATTTGCAATTAAAAGAAAATGTATTTTCGTTTAAATACATATTATATGCAATTAGTTGAACCAACCTAAATAAGACTTAAGTACATCTTAGCATGTAATTTCAAAATGACTTTGTCTTGAAATATACACTTTGTGCATGTCATGTATTTGTAATTACACATTTGTAATGATGAATTTGTAATTTAATTCTTTTAAAATATAATTGTAAAATTGTAGTTATTCAAAACAATTAAGTGTACTTAAAAAAAAAAAAAAAGATGTAATGTTTGGGTGAACTGTCCCTTTAAGGGAATAAGTACAATACATCATTATTGTTTTACTGTGAGAAAAGGAGCTGTTAAGATATTCTGCCTAAAATCTCCTTTAGACTTTCACAGAAGAAAGAAAGTCAATTAGGTATTCTTTTTGGGTGAAATGTTCCTTTAAAAGTGTCCTAGTCCACTTTCCGTCAATATCTTCTTAAAAATAAAGTACGAGTTGAATCTCAAGGGCTCCGTCAGGCTCCTGCGCGCATCAATCAGACAGGGGGCGCTGAGTTTGAGATGTTTCAATCACAGGCTGCTTCCCCTCCGGTGAAATACGACTGTGGCCGGGGGAGGGCCTGCAGAAACACAGTCATCAGTACCCCCACCCTCCTCCAAATGGATCTCCCCCCGCTCCCTGTGCTTTCAATTTACTCCTGCCAGCCCCACTCTCTGTACACATGCTTTATGTGCTGGCATGGGTGGCTGAGGCTTTGGTGAGCAGCAGGTACGCCCGCATTATTTCATCATGTGTTGGGGGGCACAAGCTAGAGGAGGGTTGGCCGTACATCCTTGTCTGGTTACCGTGCGAGCCATGCACCCTCATATCATATGCATAGGCTCATTAGTGGATGTTGGGCAGCATGGTTTCCATGGTTAGCCTAGACTAGCTAATATGGCTTAAGCTTAAATGACCAGACAAAGCTACATTGCTAGATACCTTATCTTAGTGGTAGAGACGTTGAAGTCACATGACCATGTCTCGCGTAGCCAGACCTTCAGACTGACGGCAGAAGGTCTGGGAACCTTGGCCGCTTTGAATGGCAAGGACTGCCCAAGAGGCCATATGACTGACAGATAAAGCAACCAATCATGTTTCGTTTTGTGCCGCGTCATGTTTAGGGGTGTGGAAATGCCCCCACAATAACACACCGGTGTGTAAAACTCTTGGACATATTTTAAAGATTCTATGCCGCGAACTTTAAATATTTCACATACTTTTGAAAATCCAGCATTTAGTTGATCCTGATAAGCGCTCATTGTCACAGTTGTAAACACGACGGCTTTCTTCTAACATGAGAGGGTTTGGCGTCACGGCATATTTGTTTCCAGGCGGAACGTTAAAGAACACGACACACACGTCTACTGGAAATCCTGTATAATTCAACCAATCTGATCACGACTTCGAAACTCCCGAAGTGTTTCCAATTTTGTGTGCCGTATGGATCAGACGTTCGGTCAACGGTTCGTGGGTGTGACGTCTGAGGCTGAGACTACCATGGTGTAATTCGTTTATAGCCTAACTTGAGCTTTCTTTAGCTTCCTAGCAATTGTATTTAGGCTTCAAAAGTCATAAAAGTTGTGTTAGTTTGTAAAGATTGTCTTGATGAATAAAACATGTAAGAACCATAAGCTTTTGCTCGTAAGTGTTTAATTTCTGCAAGAATCCAAAAGCCAATGAAAAAATACTATTGACTTTTTGTTGAGAGAACCAGGGTAATGCCAACTACTGCATTGGCCTACAAAAATGTAATTCCTGCAGCTCTCCATTAGGGCTGCACGATTAATCGCATGCGATATTTAACGCGCATCTTGTCAGTAAAGACGGTTCTGTAATCAGCGGTAAATCTCCATCACCTGCGTGCTTTCACATTGAGCAGCATTAACTACACAGAGCCGTTGTTCACTGACGAGTTGCGCAAAACCACGTTCATATTCGCGCGATTTTTTGCGCAGCTCATCAGTGAACAACGGCTCTGTGTAGTTAATGCTGCTCAATGTGAAAGCACGCAGGTGATGGAGATTTACCGCTGATTACAGAACCGGCTTTCTGACAAGATGCGCGTTAAATATCGCATGCGATTAATCGTGCAGCCCTACTCTCCATTGAAGGGTCTGTTCTGTTTTTTATGTATTTATTTATTTATTAAATTACACTAGCATATAGATGACCTCAAGCTAATACACATATACTGTACTAATATGCAAAAAATTCAAAATTTAAATCATGTGGTCTTTAAGCTAGTCTAAACTAGTCTAAGTTGTTTTATCAGCAGGGTTTAAGGGTTGTGTTCAAATTTGTTGATGGACAACACAGTATTAGGATAGGATCAACTATCCAGATTACTAATAGGAACATGTCTTTACAGTACTCTAAAGTAGCAGCAGCTTTTTGGAATTGGAAGGCTGTGCTTGGCGTGCAAAAGTGCAGGTTGGTTTTACAGTAAACAGTGAGGGTTAATCTTCATTACGAAGACAAAGGGACCAACTGGTACAGCTGGTCTAGCCACACTGACTCTTGAGCCCCTGGCAGTGCACTTCTAGCACTTACTATGCTGCAAATAATAAGGGAAGTGCAAACATTTCCACCCCCTGAAGTGCACTTGAGTCATGAGGCCAGCACTGGCCCAACAGTCACTGAGGGGGGGTTGATTGAGGGTACATGAGAAATGGCCTGTAGCTATGCTAGTTAAACGCCATCGGCCAAAGTGACTGCCAAACACACTCAATTCCCAGGCACAATCTAGGAAAAAAGGAATAACAAAACAATGCAGCAGCTTGCAGAGCCAAGAACAAAATGCAAGGGAGTCATTAGTTAAGAAAAAGAAGAGAGCACTTTGTAATTCAGAAGATGTTTACGCAGATACTTCAAATGCAATGCGCAATGGCTAGGAATCACAGTAAACAACTAAAGCAATGAATTCTCTGGCATTGCCAACACAGTATAATGAGCTTACAAATACACCATCTACCTTGTAAATACACACATAGTTTCAAATCAGACTGAAAGGACCAACCTGGTTTACAGGTTCCACAGTCTTGACCGTAACGTGTGGGCAAGCAGACGCATTGACCACTAACAGAGTTGCACACGGTTGCAGGTACGGTGCCCATGTGATCACAGTGACATGGTTGACATCCATGCGTGGCGTTGGCAGAACTCAGGTTGTAGGTGTGAGATGAGCATCGATTACAACTTAGTCCCTCTACGTTGTTTTTACACATGCATTGGCCTGTGGTCTTGTCGCACACATCTGAGCCATTCACCGTGCCTCTGAGCTCACACTGGCAAGGCACACAGCCCAAGGAGTTGCTGCTGTGCAGACTGTGGTATCCATCCCAGCACACGTCACACCGCCGGCCCTCTGTGTGAGGTTTGCACCTACACTGTCCGGTCACCGCATCACAGGAGGTACCGGGAATGGATCCGTTTGGACTGCAGTCGCAGGGCAGGCAGACTCCACTGCCGTTCAGACTGTAGAAGTGAGGGATGCAGGTGTCACAGAGGAGGCCTCGTACGCCATCTTTGCACTCGCACTGGCCAGTGAAAGGATTGCAGAACTGGTGTAGAGAACCCCATGGGTCACAACCACAGGGAATGCAGCCATCAGGATCTGTGCGATTGGGGAATTTGAAGCCGTAGTTACAATGGTCACAGGTTAGACCTAAGTATAAAAAGAGGAGACCACTATCAGTGCTATTCCAAACCAGGACCCCAGGAGGTACTTAAGCAGGTTTCAGGAGCTTATTTCAGGAGAATCTGCTGTTAAATTTATAGAACAAAAATAGTAACTTTAAATCTTTAAATTTTAAAAAGATAATAGCTATGGCAGTTGCCAATGGTTTTCCATTTACTGTTTATACTTTAGTGGGGGTTTTTTTATGGTTATGGTGTGGTAATTATTACCAGGATTCCATTTCATTTAATCCTTCATTGTAAGTAACCATTTTTTTGCAAAAATAATTTGTGTAATTACAAATTTTAAATAAAGATATTTACTCAATTTCACATTAAAAATGAAAAAGCCCACATTTACCTTTTATTTATTTTTTATTTTATTTAAAAAAAAATTTACTCTGAGGTGGAAACCTTCCATTACTTTCCATTTCTGAAAGAAAACGTGATGTGAATATGTGAAAGTCAATTTACGTGGATAACCCTAGTAACAAAAAAAATATGTGCATATGTATTTTCTTTTTGCAGATTGCAGCATTTCATTTATCTTCGTTCAACTAAAGTTATTCAAATTCGTCTTACCATCCACAAACCACCAACCTCAAAGGGTTAGTTCACCCAAAAATGAAAGTTCTGTCATTAAGTACTCACCCTTCTTCTTCGGAACACAAATTAAGATATTTTTGATGGAATCTGAGAGCTGTCTGACCCTGCATAGACAGCAACGCAACTGAAATGTTCCCAAGTCCAGAAACATAGATCTGTAAAATAATCCATGTGACATTAGTGGTTCATCCGCAATTATACGAAGCTACGAGAACACTTTTTGTGCGCAAAAAAAAAAAGAAAAAAAGACTTTATTCAACAATTCGTCTCCTCTGCATCACCCTGGTGCCATTTTGGAGAATATCCGCTGGACGTAAACAACATATGCTATTCTGTGTCAGCTGCATCACAGTTGTTGAATGTTTTCATTCAAATCAAAGCGCAAACAACGTAGGAAACAGATCCGGCGTGACACAGCTGACACAGAACAACATACGTTGTTTACGTCCAGCTGATATTCTCCAAAATGGCACCAGGGTGATGCGGAGGAGACAAATTGTTGAATAAAGTTGTTTGGTTTTTTTCTTTTGTGCACAAAAAGTATTCTCGTAGCTTCGTATAATTGCGGATGAACCACTGATGTCACATGGA